TTACCATATGAAATCTGTTTTTAAAAAGGCAGATTTTTTTAGAAAAATATTGATGTTACAATTAAACTTTTATGGATTGCAAAGAATATTTTTTTAAATTGCAGCTGTAGAATTGGCGTGTAGTGGGAATGAAGCGCTTTGTACATGGACAAATGAACATGATACGAAGTCAACATTATTAAAGAAATCTTTAACTATTACAACTGGAGCAGCTTTAAATTAAAATTTACTGGTCCATGTTTTATTGAAACGCTTAATAAGGATAAAATAAATAAAGCTTCCAGTTCCTTATGTTAAAATATTGAGTCCTGCGGTCAAGGGACCGAGCACTAGAGCGAGAGGGCCGATGCAGCAATACAACGACGGTTCGTCTTTCGAAAGAATTGCAGTGGACATAGCAGGTCCTTTCCCGGTGACCGAGAACGGTAATAAGTACATAATGGTCGTCAGGGATTACTTCAGCAAATGGTTCGAACCTTATACCATATGAAATCAAGAAGCCACGACGGCTGCAAAAATGCTGTTGACAATTGGATCAGCAGGTTTGGGGTCCCAATGGAACGCCATTCGGACCAAGGCAGAAACTTCGAATCAAACTTATTCCAAAGGGTTACTGAAGTAGTAGGGATACGGAAGACACGGACTACGCCGTTGCATTGAAGAACATGTCTCCAAGGTGGTGGCCGAAGATCAGAAAGATTGGGATCGACATCTTCCACTGTTCCTATTGGCTTATCGATCAGCTGTCCATGACACGACACGTTTTAGACGCTGCGCGCATAGTTTTCAGAGGAGAACTTCGTCTACCTTGTGACCTCTTGTTCGACTTTCCGAGTCAAAAACCAAAGGAGGTCATAGATTACGTCGATGACTTGAAGAAGAAGCTGATGAACGTTCATGAAACGGTGCGCCAGAAGATCCGGGTGGTGAGTGACAGAATGAAAACAAGCTACGACTTTACGGATAACTCAGTAGGATTCCAAGCAGAGGATTTGGTAGGGCTTTATAATCCCCAAAGAAGAAAAGGTCGTTGCCCCCGAAGTTGTCGCCAGACTCCTTAGTTCTGATTGAAGCGATCAGAACTAAGGAGGAGGCAGTGTTACGAAAGACACCCATACGCTGCCCCGTACATTTCTTTGTACGTCTGTCAACAACTGTCTTTCTTATTTCCGTTTTTGTCAAAATAGTCTAACATACTGAATAAAACCTACCTTCACTCATCCCTTTTCTTAACAAAAAATATTGTTTATCAAACATAATAAACAAACAAATTGTGGATGGGTTGCCTAATTATACGCACTAACATCTCACTAATGCTTAATTATAAAAACTAAACTAAAAAGTCAGTACCAATCAAAAGTAGGTACATAAAATCCTTCTTATTATGTTATACAATTTTTTTTCTCTAGTCTGTTTCCTCGGTATTGTATGAGTTCATTTACTACATTGTGTGGTCCTCCGGCTTTATTATGTTTAAGGTGTGCTATTACCTCGTTAAATTTTATTTCGATTATTAACTCTTGTTCTATTTCTTCCTCGGGTAGCGGATTTACCACTTTCTCTACTTGATTTCCCATCACGTTTTCTTGGATGAGCAAGTTTTTATAGTGTTTCCTCCATTCGTGCTTATCTATGTTTACCATTCTCTTTATAGTTCTATGCAATTTTACAATGTTCGTACTATCTTCTTCTAGCTCCTTCATTATCTCCTTAATCCACGTCATCGTTTTGTGTTTCATTAATTTTGTGCTATTCTTCCCAGTTTTTTGGTATGCTCTGTATCCTTCTTCTGTTCCTGGCTTTAAATATCTATTTTTTGCAATTATTTAGTTTTCTTATTATTTCTTTGCGTTTACTATGGAACTATTCAACCTTTTTCTCTTTTCCTCCATTACCCTGTACTTTCCCTGTTTTGTTTCCTATTATTTTCCTTATGTTACTCCATTCTTTATCTAATGTTCCATCTTCTATGCATTTTGTTAGTTCTATGTCCATTTTTTTTTCATATTACTTGGTTTTCTTTCTGTCTAGCTGTCTACGTCGTTTCCTTCTGTTTCCTCCCATTTTTTCTTGAACTAGCCACAATTTTTAGCTGTTACCAGGCAGTGATCTGCTCACACCTTCTATACCGCGAAATGACCTCGTGACCTTTTGAAATGTAGGGACACAATGTGATTGAAGAGTTAAATATGAAGATATAAAACAGGTTGTTATTACCAATTAATAGACGACATTGTGTGACGGAAATAAATACAAAAATACGTTCAATAAAAGTAAAAAAGTACTTGTCCACATACCTCCACGCCAGCATTAATCCAGGGCGATGGTTTCAATTCATTACTGGGGAGAAACACAAAACAATTTATTATTTTTTTCACAACCGCTCATCTACGAATGTTTATTATACGTGTTATGTCTATTAAAATATCTATGAAAGTCTCTCGTTCTGCCGCAAAGACTTTTTTTATTAATAAATCGGGGGTGGCTCTCCCTAAAATTTTTCTGCCATTGTGACAGAGAGGACGATTTTTATTAAATATTCAACCGAACTAATTATTTTTATTTAAAATCAAACAATTTCACTCTGGCAGAATGAAAATTAAAAACCGCAATTGAGTTACTGCTGGTGGGCACTGTCGGAACAGGGCCCAATTCCGGCGCAATATCGCGACTAGACTCACGGTTTCCATGACAACGGTGTAAACAAAACATCTAAATAAGGCACATAGCCTCCGTCTCCGCTTTTATCAGCACTTCATCAGGAATAACATATCGTATATCCGAGACGCAACATCTTTAGATGTAAGTGGATGTATGTTTTGATACATTTTATTATAGGTACAAGTGGAGCGAGATTAAAAAATTTGTTTCGATAATTATGACACAAATTTTCGGATAATTTTTTAAATATTGGAAATTACTATTTTGCTATGTCCAGTGTGTTTGTAGACGTTGTAATTTTTATTTAGAGAGATAAATTGGTAATTATAAACTTCATTTAATATGCTAAACACTTGTTCACGACAAAATCAGCGATCATTGCGATGCTAAACCCTAAGGAAACAGTATCATAAATAATTTAAAGTGCGGTGGAAGCATTAAATTTGCATGAAGTGATAATAAACTCAAACTAAAATTATCAGCTGCAAAGGAATCAGACTAAAGCGATTTGGGTTCGGAAACCAAGAAGACATCTAAAATACTCGTGTGGTGAACGCAAGGGCCGAATCCGTAAACCGAGGAAATGTTGGATTAATTTTCATTTAAGGTGATCGCTAAATTATCGAAAAGTCCTCGACCAAAAGCTGACGCAAGGCCAAGAGTACCGCCCGCGAACGAGTACATCTAAAAATTCCTTCCGCCCCCGGCGCTGTCCACAACAAACCCATGAAAAACCACCGACAAACACCCATAAATCAAACGCTTCGGTTGCTACTTTCTTTGTCCTTCCCGGATTTTGGTTGAGATGTTCTTCTTCTTTTATTTTTGCATTTTTCTATTTCTTTTGCGAAAAGGAGACGATTGGCTAAAATTTCCACTATCTGGGACATGTAGAACTTTTGACGCTTCATCAATTGCTTTTATTCAGAACGTTCAAAAGTGTTTGCTTTTGTAATAATTCCACATTTGAATACAATTGAAGACAGAAAAATTAAAAAATTAAGAACTGTCACGTTATCAGTTTTTTACTGTACACATGATGGCTCATATATTCTGACTAGTTTATTATTTATTAAAGAAAGAAGTGCTTCCATTTAGAGGCGTTCTTATTAAAAATTTAAGGTCGAAAGAGTTAATAAATAAAACGGCGGATTATTTCATTGTGCTTTTATTAATAGAGTTAGTGAAGACCCACACCGGTGCTTTAGTGCAAGAAGGTGCATGTTAGCATGTTCCATTATTTTTCTTTTAATTAGGAGGAGAGTGATGAGCTAAAGGGTTTCCCTCATCTTGAGCTGCAAATTTTTAACAATCATTATGTTGGTGGTAATTCTTTTGCTAATACATACCCTTGACAAACGAAATAAGAAGAATCATTGCCACAACAATGTAAACAGCAGAGATTTTTTTAAACATTTTTTAGTTGAAGTAAACGACCTGGTCTTCAAGTATTTTAACCAAGAATACACTATTTCACCACCACGGTTCTTTATATACACAGCAGTTGCTGACAAAAACAACAATTATGTATATGTACAACGTAGTATCTAGTAGGTACGTTTTTGCACGTTATTTTGTTTTATAAGAAAAAACAAGTAGAACTCATTACGGTGGTATTATTAACAGTACAATTAGCTCTTAGTGGGATAGCGTTCCATGTGTTTTGTTTTTATTTTGAGAGTACATAGTACAACACAAAACTCCACATTTTTTGTATGGCTGTCAATAATGATCTTTCTTAATTCCGTTCTCCTCAAAAGTCATGAGTGTCAAAACTTTCAGAAGTTATGACAATTAAAATATTTATATTAATATACTTTAGAGTTTGAGTTAGAGTTAAAAAAAAGTATGTTTGACTCAATATCTTTGAAATCAAACATACTTTTTCAATACTGATGTGATTTACTGATGTTTAACACGTAATTATAAAAAAATCGTCATGTGAGTTGTACATTGGTTCCCAGTTTCAACAAAAAATTATAATAAACTGTTAAAACTTTTTTGCTATGCATAATTTTATGTATCGCCCAAAGCCTGAAAAAGTTGTTTACTATGTAATTTTGGTGCCACAAAACTCGTTACGGTATCTACAGAACTTATCAGTATTGTTATCGTTTGTGTGGTAACAACATAATTTGCAAAAAACCAACGCTTTGTACAAGGACGAATGAACATAATATGCTGTCAAGATTATTATAAAATATCTAGCCATTAAAACTTTTGAAGTAAATTTACTGATTTATAATTTATTAAAATGGTTAATAAAAAATAAAAATTTACTAAAGCTTCTAGTACAAAGTACCATTAATGAATGTGTGACGGGCCGTCATAAAATCAGTTTACAAAAAAATCGCACTAAAAAAATCTTCCCACATATTTGAAAATATGAAACATCATTGCGCATGTCAGATTTTGCATTCAACATACCCAGAATCGCTCTCTTTGCTCAAGAGATTTCAGAATATTAAAATAGACTGATTGTAAAGTTTTATTACTGACGTTTTGCTTGATGGATTTTCGTATATGATTGAAAGATTCTTCTAAGCAACTTTTATAAGTATCTTTCATATTGAGATAAGTTTAAAATTGTTGTTACTGCTTCAGGATCTTTAGAACCATAACACTGTTTCATCGTTTCTACCTGAGAATAATTTCCTTTTTCCATTGCCATTACGGAGAGCCACGTACATTTACCTTCTTGAACGTCTGTTCCCTTTTTACCACTTTTTTGGGTTACCATAGCAGTCCATGAAGTCATCCTGGCAAATATAGGTATCAAACAAAGTATTTAGATCTCACAGAAACTACATACTATGAGATATAGGGCAAGCAACATAATTTGTAACCGAGTCATCCTTGGAATTTAATCCGTATAGTATACTTCTACCTTTGCTGTTTTTTGACATTTATCAGTTTTTTCTTTTAATCACGGACATGCTAAATCCTTTCCAAGGATGACTCAGTTTTAAATTATGTTACTCAATCGATATTTATATCATTTTTCGTAAAAGTCAAAACAATGCAAAGCTTTTGCTGCATTTCCACGTTACATGGTTTCACGAATTGTCTGTATAACTTGCCTGCAGTTGATACAAAAACGTGAAATCTCTCGACAAATCTTCCGATTTTTTGTGGAGTTCCAGGTCATATATGTTTGCCATATACATAGCTAAAGCTATTGGTAAATAAAAAGTGTAAAAGCCAGTTTTGTGTTCAGCAATGCGTTTAAACCTCTCCATCGTGTGAAGTTGCATTTGAGATTTACCATCCTTGATAGACATACAATCCGCGCTTTCTCCCAGACCGGTTCTTAGAGTAAAAAGAAGTAGTGCATCATTAGCTGCACTAAAGCCGATATTTTATTTTCTGTGCCAGTAGACGGAGCCCCTTCGCATCACTCCTTCGTCAGCCATGTCGTCAACTCTAGTAGAAGCTGCCTGTAGCTAAAAATTAATTAAATCATTTCAACTTTATCAGTTCAGTTTGTCAGAACAACGAAAAATTTACTCGACTTACCACTTCCAAAGCCCAAGCCATGATCATTGCTAATCTGAGATTTTCCGGTGTGGCATTTTCTGGTTTTTCAAGGACTTCGTAAGTTGTAAGTGTATTAAAAGCCCTCAATTTTTTACCAAAGGGGACCAGATAACGAAGAACTTGGTCGTAGTGTACATTTACCTCAACAATATTTGCTTCTGCCTTGGCGTTCGTTAAGTCGCTCACTATCATAGGAAACATATCCAAAAATTCGATGTATTTCTATTAGTGTTTTCACTGTACAATAAATAGAAGCTCTATCCTGATGGAAAAATCCATTCTGCAAGTTCTCGTCATAGTTGATTGACAAACGGTTCTAAAATTTCAGTTCTATATCTTATAGAGTTCAGTGGAGCATCCGTTGCTAATATCAGTTCTAATCCTGGAGAAAACGGTATAAGGACTGTGGTACTGGTCAGTTCCTGTTTTAATTCTCGAAAAACAGTATTGCATTCCTTTAACCATCTGTAAAGTGTATTGTTCCTGAGTAGTTCATACAACGGTTGTAGTTTAGTCGCCAAGTTAGGTAAAAACCTTTGGTAATGGAGTGCCGTAGTCCTAAAAAACTTCTTAGTTTAGAAATATCCTTTGGTTTGTTGTTATTTAAAAGAGCGTCAATTTTCTCTGGAGATGAATGTAACACCTTTGCATCTACTGTATGTCCTAAATAGATCATGTTTTTTTTTTTAATTACATTGTACAAGTATTTGATCCATTACTCTTTGCCAAGCTCCCGGGGCTGATTTGACCCCAAACGTTAGGCGGTTTACCTTGTAAGTATCTCTGTGCGTCGAAATTGCTTGTAACATTGCACTATTTCCGTCTACTTTCATGTGCAGGTGTGCGTTTCATAAATCTAATCAAAAATTTTCCTCCATTGAGTTTGTTTAGTAAACCTTCTACTTTGGGTATGGGATATTTATCTTCCATTATGAGCTTGTTAATTGTAATATTGTAAGCTGCGTATAGACGAACTTAACCATCTTTTCTAGTTACTGGAACTATAGGGGTTCCCCATGAAGACCGGGTAACCTTTTCAATGACATCCAAATGCTCGAGTGGTTCAAGTTCTTTTTCAACTTTGGGCCGTAAAGCGTAAAGAACTTGCCTGGGCTTAATAAAAATTGGCTGTATGTATAATTTGGTATTACCTCTATTTCGTCCCTCCCGATCTGATTGTATTTATCTAAAATTTTCTATAGTTTTGCGATTTGTGAGAAGGAGGTGTCCGCTTGAAGATGGTCTATATGTAAGAGATCTATAATCGCTCTGTCGAGTTTGAATTTTCTTAACCATTCTTTACCCATTACAGCATCAGCTTCTAATGGTACTACGTAAAGGGTGCATTTAGCTAACTGATCTTTATATTTCATTGATACTTCAGCTGCTCCGCAGGGGTGTATAGTTTCACCAGAGGCTGTATGAAATTTGATATTACTTTTATGTGATTTTGCATTACCCCACAGCTCAAAAAAATCTTTTTTGGATATGGATGATTTTGCCGCGCTTGTTTCTAACTCGAAGCTGCAACTACGGTTATCAATTTGCAGCGAGACCATGATTTTATTTGTATCACTTCCGCTTCCAGGCTTTTCTTTGGCGAACGTCGCTCGGCCGTCACCGACAATGAGTTACCCATCATCGTCGCACATCCTAGAAAATTCATAGGCGTCGTACCGGATCTCCTAGAAGAAATTCGTCTTCGATTACGACGGATCATGTGGTTCATGCACGATGGTTTTCCAGTCCACTTTACGAGAGCAGTAAGAACTTCGTTAGACAACACTTATGGGCGTTGTTGGATAGGACACGGTGGGCTAACTACTTGGCCGCCTCATTCGCCCGACTTAAATAGTTGCTATTATTATTTATAGGGGTGCATGAATGACACCCATAAATACCCGAGAAGAGTTGTTTAACAGAATTACAGCGGCTTCAGAACTCATCCGAAATAATCACGATGAACTGGGTCGTCTGAGCATTTTGAACACTTATTATAAATTAAAAGTATCTGTCCCCGACACTGATCATAATGTTCTACTAATCAACGCGTACCTTAGCAACTACCGCATACAAAATGTGGAAAAAATTAAATCTTGTCAATAAAGACAAACGGTGACATTTCAAAATCGATTGCTAAGCAACCGTTTTTACTTTGAAAATTATACAATCGACTTTACCTTTGTAACAATGAAAGTTGAACAGAATTTCTCAAACGGTGGCATCCAATAAAAAAAAATTGGTCTAAAGAGTTTAGACAGCACTTCCCTCGCTGTCGGAAACGTGACGACTGCATGATTATTATGTTTTTTTTTTCGTAGTGGGTTTCAAAGAATTCGGTTTTGTAGTTCCTGAGTAAGTCAATAAAATAAATTTACGCATTCATTAATTTTTTTGAGTCACCCTGTATATGCAAATCCAAAAAATATGAATGGAGTGATAAATCACAAGTACAGACTCATCATATTTTGTACAGTTTAGATAGGATTTATTCGGCAAACTTTCGAGCTGACGTCGTCAATTTTTTGGAGGGGATAAGCAAATGTATTTTGACTAAACATTTATTATGCTCTTTATAACCTTAACATATCTGCAAGATTTCAAAGCATTCGGTTTTGTAGTTCCTGATTAACTCAATAAAATATATTCACGCATTCATTAATTTTTTGAGTCACTCTGTATATGCAAATCGAAAAAATTTGAATGGAATGATAAATCACAAGAAGAGACTCACCATATTTTGTACATTTTAGATAGGATTTATTCAGCAAAATTTTGTGTTGACGTCATACATTTTTTAGGGGGTACAACCAAATACATTTTGATCAAAAATCTACCATACTTATGATAATTGTAAAACATCTTCAAGATTTCAAAGCATTCGGTTTTGTAGTTCCTGAGTAAATCAGTAAAATAAATTTTCGCATTCATTAATTTTTTTGAGTCACCCTGTATATGTAAATCCAAAAAATATGAATCGAGTGATAGCTCACAAGTACAGACTCATCATATTTTATACATTTTAGATATGATTTATTCGGCAAACTTTTGAGCTGACGTCATCAAGTTTTTGGAGGGGATAAGCAAATATATTTTGACTAAAGATTTATGATGCTCTTTATAGCCTTAAAACATCTGCAACATTTCAAATCATTCGGGTTGGTAGATTCAAAATTAAATTTCAAAATGTTGTTTTATAATTTTGATTTTTTTTCCAAAAATTTGGACGTTTCGGGTGAAAACTCAATTTGGAGTCGTAAACTACATGTGTAGGACTATGTTATTTTATACAATTTAAAACTCATTTTCTATGTACAAATTTGAAGTGACGTCATCGCATTAGTGGTGGGGATGATTAGACAAATTTTGGTTAGCGTTCTACCATCTACATGATATTCCTAATATAAGTACAAAATTTCACAAGAATCGGTCCAGTACTTTCGGAGATTTTTTTTTTTCTTTTCTGTCCAAAAAGCAATTCCTCCATTACGAATATCTTCTAACGGTTTTCGCCCAGATAATTTTGTTTTACTTCCCGAGCGTAAGCAAAGAAAGCTTTGTAATCGAGTCCGTCGACCGACTCTCTACTTTTACGTTTTCTCGATCTTTCATGACCCCTAGAAGACGAAGAAATAGGTCTCCCATTTCCGTCTGTCTGTCCGTCTGTCCGTCGGTCCGTCTGTCCGTCTGTCCATCTGTCCGTCTGTCTGCCGTCCCGGATTTTTATTAGACAGATAATCTCCGAAAGTACTGAACCGATTGTTATGAAATTTTGTACTTATATTAGGAATATCATGTAGATGGAAAAACGCTAACCAAAATTTGTGTAATCATCCCCACCACTATTGCGATGACGTCACTTCAAAATTGTACATAGTAAATGGGTCTTAAATTGTATAAAATAACATAGTCCTATACATGTAGTTTACGACTCCGAATTGAGTTTTTACCCGAAACGTCCAGATTTTTGGAAAAAAAATCAAAATTGTAAAACAACATTTTGCAATTTAATTTTGAATCTGCTAACCCGAATGTTGTGAAATGTTGCAGATATTTTACGGCTCTAAAGAGCATCATAAGTCTTTCGTCAAAATATATTTGGTTATCCCCTCCAAAAACTTGATGACGTCAGCTCAAAAGTTTGCCGAATAAATCCTATCTAAAATGTACAAAATATGATGCGTCTGTACTTGTGATATATCACTCCATTCATATTTTTTGGATTTGCATATACAGGGTGACTCAAAAAAATAATGAATGCGCAAAATTTATTTTACTGATTTAGTCAGGAACTACAAAACCGAATGCCTTGAGATCTTGCAGATGTTTTAAAATTATCATAAGCATGGTAAATTTTTGATCAAAATGTATTTGGTCGTCCCTCCTAAAAAATTGATGACGTCACTCCAAAATTTTGCTGAATAAATCCTATCTAAAATGTATAAAATATGATGAGTCTGTACTTGTGATTTATCATTGCAATCATATTTTTTGGATTTCCATATACAGGGTGACTCAAAAAAAATAATGAATGCGTCAATTTATTTTATTGATTTAATCAGGAATTACAGAACCGAATGCTGTGAAATCTTGGAGATATTTTAAAGTTATCATAAGCATGGTAAATTTTTTATCAAAATTTATTTGCTCATCCCCCCCTAAAAAAATTGATGACGTCACCCTAAAATTTGGTAAATAAATCCTATCTAAAATGTGAAAAATATGATGAGTCTATACTTGTGATTTATCATTCCATTAATATTTTTCGATTTGTATATACAGGATGACTGAAAAAAATTAATGAATGCGTCATTTTATTTTATCGATTTAATCAGGAATTACAGAACCGAATGCTTTAAAATCTTGGAGATGTTTTAAAGTTATCATAAGCATGGTAATTTTTTTATCAAAATGTATTTGCTCTTCCCCCCTAAAAAATTGATGACGTCACTCCAAAATTTTGCTGAATAAATCCTATGTAAAATGTACAAAATATGATGAGTCTGTACTTGTGATTTATCATTCCAATCATATTTTTTGGATTTGCATATACAGCGTGACTCAAAAAAATTAATGAATGCATGAGTTTATTTTATTGGTTTAATCAGGATTTACAGAACCGAATGCTTTGAAATCTTGGAGATGTTTTAAAGTTATTATAAGCATGGTAAATTTTTTATCAAAATGTATTTGCTCATCCCCCCTAAAAAATTAATGACGTCACCCCAAAATTTTGCTGAATAAATCCTATCTAAAATGAAAAAATATGATGAGTTTGTACTTGTGATTTATCATTCCATTCATATTTTTTAGATTTTCTTAAGAGGTGGCTCAAAAAAATTAATGAAGTCAATTTATTTTATTGATTTTTTAAAGGCAACACTTATTATTAGTATTACATTGGACCAACCCAATTTGGTAGACACAAAATTTTTTAAAGTAAAAACTCGGTTGAAACATAAGGGTAGCACGCTTATTTACATCGACTTTAACATTACAGACGTGCATTTGTTTTATGCGCTGACTAGGTTCCGCGAATGTGGAATAGACATGTTTATAATCAACCAATTGTGAATTTTACTGTCAAAAATTAAAATATTACGTATGCTGTTACGCTTGTCATCTTAAATTAAGAATGTTTATACATAAACGATTTTCAGTTGCCTCTCATATTACACACCGGCGCCGTATACGTGAGCAAATTGTTTCGTTATTTTATTGATTATAATAAATCAATATTCAAAACGAACCAATTCATTTTCCCGAAAATTTGGGAATACAATAATTTTATTCTTAGTATTACACTACA